TAAGGGAGCAATAGGTTTATTCCGCCTCACTATTTATGGGACTTATAAAATTTCCGGAATTGATCCCCTCTACTTTTCTAGCTTTTGCTTTCAGTGGGGGACCTTTTCCAATCCATTCACTGGTTCTCCAGAATTTAAGGAAGATGATAATGTCAATGTTTTTCTTACTAAGAAAAGCGCAATAATACCTGATGCGATGCCCTCAGGTTGTTCTTCACAGCGTTAATCATCATTGTGAGGCTGGTGTAAGTGTGGTGCCGACCGTCTTATCCTAGACGAAGTCATCTTACAGCTTGTTAGCGTCATCGATCTCTTCTATAAGCTCGTCAAAAATACTTATAATAAAATTCCTTGGGTCGGTTGAACGGGAGATGGGATGCAGAGCATTAACGTCAATTTGTGTCATATAAGAGCGCTTGATCCGGAAAGCTGCGAATGTAGCTGCATTCATGATGCATGAAGCATTGTTAAGCAGGACGGCAGCAGATAAAATTGATTAAAAATTCGGTACATTCAGGTTATCTATTTTCTTTATAAAACAAAACCAACAATCTGGACTATTTACAAGTTTTCAAAATGCCGACCAATCTTCAGGAATTAAAAATTTATTAATAAAGATACTAGGACTATTTTATATCTAAAAAGCGAGCTGTGTAAACTTTCTCTCGATGGTTGGAGCTTAGAACATTATTTAGTATTGGCGCAATCCGATTTATCCTCTGCTGAAATCTGTCGCGATCGCGAGCAACCTCTTGCCAATCACCCTTTCGAGCAGCTCGATAAGCAAAGTCCCAAGCATGCATTACATGCACCTTTGGTTTTAAATTAAAGCGCACCTAATAAACAAAAAAATGATAATTAATTTTTGTTCGAACCTTTGTTTTGTGATTTTACTGACCCGTTTCTGAACTTCTTGGCTATTGTTGTAAGAATCTGATATTTTATCGGCAGCATTGCAATCAGAGCAACCAACTGCAGCAGAATCTATGCTTTCGCTGTCCTCCTCGAAGCATATAAAGCTATCGTCGCTACATTCGGAAATACTTCTTTGACGCTTCAGTTTGAAAACAGCAGCTTCTACCGTCAACGGACTTCTGCTAAGATATTCTTTGTCCGACATATTTTTGTAGCTTTGACAAGAATCCAGGTTATAATGCGAATAATTGTAATTGTTTCCAGACTGCGGTTGCATATCAATGAAAAAGTAGCAAAATGAAGGCGCAGGTCTGGAATCAACAATATTCTTAGGCTTCTGATGCAGTGCCGACTGCATTTTGTTAACAACATCAGCCACCAACTGCAAGGAATACATCGCTGCGGCGAGCGGCTGTGGCTGCAAATCGTCCAACAATATGTTCGTGCTTCCTTCCTCGGGATTGTTCAGCAATTCTGATTTGTCTGAATCTGAAGATTGGGTATGCCGCGTTGCCGCGAATCGGTAGTGATTATGGATGGGGGAGCTCATGATGTCAATCATCGGCCAAAGATGCAGCAATCAGGCAGTAAAATTTATAATATTGATTTGTAGAACATTTCAGAATTCACTTAAGCCACAAATACCCGAGCGCATTTGCTTTCGCATATCCATTTTTTGCATTCTGCATTTGTAATTTACGACTTTGTACACTTTTAGGTTTCCATCTTTTGTTTGAATTTGTACGATAATAAAATAAATTTTAACCTTGTTCGCAAATTGTGTTTCTGTACTAATGATTGTGGGTAAGTTAAAACGTGCATAACAATAATGCATACTATGAAATAGCTAGGAACGGTTGCGAAATTTTAACGGCTGAATTATTAACAATAATTCTTATCCATCTGATAGTTCGTATCTTCGTTATGAAATTGAAAGATTTTTCTTGTAATTATACGGTCAAAGAAAAGTACATTAAGAAAATCGAATCCACACGTTATTATTAAAAGAATTCTCATACTGCTCAACTTGTATAAATATGACAAATATTAGTGACCTTAATGGTTATCTATTCCAAAGGTCGTTACTCATCTATCGATAGTACACGATTGTTTTCCACTAGGCACGTTACCATTAGCAAAAGCACGTTTGTGTTAACATTTAAATGAATGATTAAAATTAAAATTATACAAAATGACAAATATTCACTAATTTGCTTATGCTAATTTATTTTTCCCTAATGCACCAACTTCGTAATTTTTTTTGTTTTTTGCAAGCCCATGTGTACGCGAATAAAATCAAAGTTAATCGAAGGCATCAAACACAGTCCACCATTTCCATAAGCTACATCGAGCAACTTTGTAATCAATTCCGAATCGAATTTACGAAATGATTTCCAACAGATGAGGAATATATTAATAGATTTGTTTTAATATGTTCAAAATATGAGGTCTAAAAACGACTATCGTTAAACAAATATTTTGAATTGACGGATTTTCGCAGGGGCGCTATTATAAAATTGTAGTCCCGGATATTCAGTTAACATCTGTAGCGAAAGGACATATAAAACACTATAGCAAAACGAGCTTCAGTACATGAACAACAATACAAACCTGGAACTACAAATCATATAAAACAGCAAAATACAGAAGCCGGACATTCCTTTCTCTTCAATATGTGCGCATAATTGATGGGAACATACATGTATAAATGTATGTCGTGAAAACATACTAAATCATTTAATCTACTTACCCCGCGCGATAGCAAACGCTTTCTCAATTTCCAGAGATCTCAGTAAAGTGTGATTGAAGTATTTTACTTATGTTTTCAGATTTTTATATATTTTTGCGCTACGTTTTACGTATTTTTCAACGTTTGGCGCAAAATTAAGAATTTAAAAAGCTAGAGATACCGACTGGTTTGTTGTCCAAAATTCAACTGAAGAACATAATATCTTATAATGTAAGCTAACTTTAGTTGCCGTTCCATGCCAGCAAAAGCTGCAAGTAATCCATCAGCACGCGACTTATGTGTGCTTGGTTAGTGTAAGCCTAAACGCATGTTTATCTTTGTGGACCAATTTGTCCATTCATTTACACTGTTTAATTACTGATTAGTATTATGAACGGCGGCAAGAAGCACTAACCTTGGGTATTTTCCACATTGTTATATTTTGTTTGTCTATGTGATATTGTTATTGATTTTTTGTGAACTAGTAATTTTGGCATTACGTGTGTAAAATATAGAAAAGACATCTCCGTCATTATGAAGAATATTAAGCAATCTAAAACAAAATTTGGCACTCATTAAGCACTTAGTTAATCTAATCTCTGCAATTCAAAACATAGTTGAGCTAACATAAACATTAGAAATAAACTTATATTATCATATTCATGTCAGTGCTTGAATAAAACGGAATTATATATCTGATTTTTATGTCTGTATTTCAATACATTTATTTAATTCTTGGAAAATTGAAATAACACAAGCTGCATTTCCACAAGTTTACAGCTTCAACTTAGTGCGCCTCCAATGACGACGCTTGGCGTTGTACCTGAAAGAAAATTAAAATTTTAACATTAATATTTTTCAAGAATAAAACCAAGTACATACTATCAATAATAGTATAAGCTGGCACAAGAAGTTTTAATCACATAGGACTTGACTGTTGGGGCTGGTTTCGAAATGTCGATTTTGTCAATTTCAGGGCTAATGAATAATGGTCCACCTGCCTAGCAGGTGTATTACCCACCTAATATGCAGGCATGTTATACAACTGACAGTTTTCTTGTTCATGCCTAACATCCCAACAGATTCTGCTCTCATTATTTCCTTATATTGGATAACGCATAAGTCATAATATATGTACATATGTATATATTGCTGGATCAGTGCCCGTAGCGAAGTTTGTTTTCATGTAAACCTATCACTCAGTTGTAAAGCTATTCTCACAAAAGTCGGCAAAGCTTGGTCTATTAGTATATTCAGTATTCGCGGTGCAGCTAAAATACGTGGCCAGTCATAGAAGATAAACAAACTCATATGGGAACATTTCTTATAGGCGGCAACAAGATTGACACGTTTATTCAACAGCATAACCCGGCTGGTTCTAACATATTTACCGCCAGCAGGAGAAAGACGGAACGTTGTAAATGTTTAATGTAATGTTAATGCGGCAGCTCTGTTAACCCGGCTGCTGGATACTAGCAGTAACCAAATAACATAGAACACATACACATATGTTATTTGGTTAATGATAATATTTATTTCACATTTCTTGCCAAAACTAAAACGGAATAGAAACTGTTTTAATTGACTAACGCCATCAAAAACTTTGATATTCTTGAAAATTTTACCGCTTGTGCCTTTTCTTTATTTACATTATTGTGTATGCACTAGATCCCAAATAAGAGAAGTTCCCTAATTTTATGTTGATTATTATAACTAAATTAATATAACTTTTTGTATATGCATCCACAAAAACTTTTGGAAACAATGCCCAAAACTTACCGTATAGTATTTCCAGTCCGCAAGCGAACCCATTGTGGTACTGATCGGTTTTGCTTTAGCTTTTTAGCTAATTTCTGCTTGATCCGAAACGATTTATGTGCAGCCTAATTGATCAGAAATATTAAAACACAAACATAATAAATATTTAATAAAAGAATAAACGATTTGTTCAATTATGGTTGATTATATTTACGCACCATTTTCACTTCCTTTCGTCAGAGGCTACAACGGAAAGAGGGTTTATATTAGGGATGTGAGATTATTAATTTTAAACATCGGCTAAAGCAATCATTGGGACTATCGATATTTTTGATGTTTAAGAAGCATCGATGCAAGTTTAAGAACCAGGGCTGTTTTTACAACTCTGATTCTTTAAAAACGAGAGCAAGTGCCAATTGAAATAATTTTAGTATGAATTTAATTTTGTTTTGATTTTTTTATATAAAATTATATTGTATATGCAGTGGCGTTGAGAATAAAATATAAAAAAAATTGACAGTATATATAAATGCATATAAAAGTGAGTGATTCCGACTCCGGAACTGAGTTGCAAAAATCGTGACTAACTTGATGCATGTTGTTAATTTGGGGCTTATCGAATAATTCAGTTGAACTAATTCGGAACGATGCAATTGAGCACATCTATAAAAACAAACACTTCAATAATATACGGATTCTAAATTAATGATTCTAAATTAATGAATTAAACATTGAATATAGCTTATGGTAAATATTTGAACTCGGAGCTTTAACCAACTTACGCTTTAAATCTAACTCATCAAATATTTTTCCATGTTTTTGTTGACATTTGTTTCAGATAAATTTAACTAATATTTGTGGCCTGTCGCATTACAACTAATTTAGATTTATAATTACATCTATACATGGAGGGCAGTCATGTATGTATAAACGTATGAACATCAAGCCTTCAATTCTATAAAATGCAGAAATACAGATTTTGATCTTGCATTTTACATCGAATCTTATAAATATTTAAGAGTTATCTAGTTGGAAGTTCCCGATTTGGAGTTACCCTGTATCTAGTGCCGACATGTCCTTACCATAAGATAACTTTCATAAAAAACACAAATGGATTTTTAAATTCCTTTAATCTTTATGATCGGAACAGCAGCATACAGAAGTGCCCGTCGGAGCTTCCCATCTCTCGTCTATTTAGGAATATATTATTAATTTCATGGGATGGAGAAAAACAGAGAAGGTTATGTAGGACTTGTTGCATCTAAACATCAAATAGGTTCTTGAATTGATAGATTTCAAACTCGCTTTCAATTTTATATGTAGAGTTCATGGATAGATAAATCTATACAAATTTAGCAAACATTGAAGAATTTGAGTTGTTTATACGCTAGTAAAAATTCTGTTGAATTCATTTATATATGCATGTTTAAAATATTTAACCTTTGTATAACGAATATTAGTTGGGATATCTGTTTCAATAAGGGCATATTCCAATAATTTTTATGTTTGTTTTACAATTTCAGAACCTTTTGTAATTGCATCTCTTTCGTTGGGTCAGCTCTAAATGGTCTATGATATTGATAAGCAAATATAAGTTATTTCTATGCCAATAAAAATATTTTGGTGGAACGAAGATGTTTTTATCAATTGCCCCACCATTGATGGATTTTGAAGACGAATTGCTATGGGTAAACCAGCTAAGCAATCAAAATCTTACTGTGTTATATGATAAATCAAATTATGTTACTCCCAACACAAAACTTTTAATTGAGCAAGCTTTCATTCAGCCACTTAGTCTACAGGATCAACAAATTCTCTTTGACGACTTACAAAAACAAAGTCGAAATATCGCACATCAATATGGATTGACACCGGCTAAAGTATGTATTCTTCTATCTAATAACCTGATTCCATTGTGCTCAAAATATGTTACATTTACAAGCTTCACATTGTGCGTTTCCATTGGCAAGCGCCCGTTGTCGGTAACATGTGAATGGCAAAAGTACCGCTTCTTACGCATTCTTATTGGAAAACGTACAGGCCAAATATTTCACATTATAAAGTAAATGTAACATTCGCAAAATATGTAGGAAATGTACACAGTGGAATTAGGTTATAAGCAAGTAATTATTTTTGTTTTACAAAGAATTAACCCAATTATATTCTAACATATACATATAGCTTCCTCAGCTTGTTGAAAACAATCCTCTCATTTCAATAGAGATCTTACTAAGGCTTATGATAAATACGGACATTACGGAATATTTTAACATTCTGGTTAATATGGACATAACACTACATTCGATGGAGGTTGTAAACAGGCGAGTCTTTTGCATATTTGCTTTTTAAAAATTTAGTTTACCATGACTTATAATTTTTTTTGGTATATTGCTAGCGTTTTTTTTTTAAAGCCACAATTACACAAAATTGTGATCAACCGCGGTGATCCAAATTCTTGGCATATTTGTGTGAACAAGGCTGTTGCGACCAGTTCGTTCGGTTGATGGGAGTTGCGAATTCAACTCCCAGTACACAAAACTAATTTTTTATTAACATTAAATTCAGTGTATCCCCTAGCCGGGCACTCCCGATCAGAGCAGTGTTTCACACTTTTCAAAAAATCCAATCGTATTGGTGGAAATGGGATCAAAAAAATAAATAAGCAAAAACTTCTAAAAGCACCGTAGTATTTTAAACAATTCAACAAGCATTAAACATTTGGTGAAAATGTTATTATTTGAATATTTTCAGATTGACTACATCTTGCCCTCTGCCCACCGAATTCATCCATTTATACATTAGTAATTGCATATCTGCTTGTGAAACAGTTAAAGACAAGTACATGCAGTCGCGGTTGGTTCGATTAGTTTGTGTATTCCTACAATCTTTGATCAGAAACAAGATTATAAATGTTAAGGTAAGTGCTGTCATTCTAAAATGTATGTTCACATTTTTGGCATTATTCAAAGGGTTTTTCCTTGTACTTTTCAAATTTCCTGTCCGAATAATTGCATACGCGTTATACATACATATCTAATTTGGAATTTTTCAGGTGCTCTTCATTGAAATTGAAGCATTTTGTGTTGGATTTAGTAAAATTAAAGAAGCTGCAGCTTTATATCGCCTTATAAAACACTTGGAAACCGGAGACACTATTCAAACTGCAAATTCATTAACAAATAATAAATAACAACAGATTTACAAATAAAAAGATATTAAATAAAATATTTATCGTCGTAATTACTATGCTTGCATTGTGGAATGCGATCCAAAACTTGTAGACTGGCTTTTCAGTTGGCTTTTCGCTATTCAAACGACACGCCACTGGCTGACTGGCTTTTTGCTCTTTAAATAAATCTACGAATACCTTAAAACAAAATAAAAACTAAAAACATGGATAAGAAATCGGTGACTTTTTTATCGGCTACCCATATAGATTAATCCTATTACAAAAGCAAGATTCTTTGCTTTTGTAAAAGTTCAATTGAGTTATATTATTTAGTATTCAGCAAATAAGCTTATTTTATTTAGCCAATTGATAAACACCACCAGAAAATAAAAGTTTATGCTCGCGAACTTTCCTTTGTAAAAAATGTTTTAGTTCTTCCTGGGTAAATTCCACTCCTCCACTGTGCGAAGCGAACAGTTTAAGCATTTGATGAATACGATCAATCGGCATACAATCCAGGTTTGTGAGCATGCCAACAATATAAGACCAGAAAACCTAAAGAATTCAAATTTAATTAAGCTTGGGACTGCTTGAATTATCAAAAATAATTACGTACTTGAAGCTCTTCTTCCCTTTGATCACTAGCAGAGGCCATCGCCGATTCCAAGTCCTCTTCGTCGGCATCTGTAATGCTAACCTCTTCGAACTGTGTCTTTTCAGATTCCTTCTCCAAAAGTGCAAAAATGCCAGGTTCTATCTCTGCAATCAGTCCATGATTTTGCCAAAAACTTATTCGTCGCCTAAGTGCGGATGGGGGCACTTTTATGAGGCTACTGAGTTCTTCAATACTCCATTCACCTATGGAACATTAAACGTTTTGGCAGGGCAAATAAAAAACGGAGCAAATCATACTTTTATGCTGGAAATGGTAAATAATTACAGCCTGCGTTGGTGGCACCGTCATTTCCAATATTCTTTCGCCTATTTCGATGACAATGTTTACACGTCCGGTCACTGTGCGCCAATTGAGTGTGCGGTTTCCTTTATAAGACTCATAAGCTTTCGTGAATTTCTTAAATTCATTTTCGAGTTCCTCGGGTAATTGTAAACTCTCCTTGTTAAATGACGGCCAAAATTGAGCCGAAATTATTAGTGACGAAATGTTAAATAATGGACCTTAATAAAGTATATCTATAAATATTCATGGATTCAAATATTCGATTTCATGTAACTTACTTTCATCACAATTGCCGTCACCATGGATGTGAGAATTGATGCGCTTTGAATCTGTAACATCTTTTAGCATTACTTCACAACTATGTAAAAGTGATTCACCAAATCTTATCTTTAAGAGTTCAAGATTTCGAATTTCCTTTTCTGAATTAAAGTCAAGCTGTGACAATAACCTATCGGCCATCAAATTGCGATATTCGACCATAAATAATTCTTTACTTCCATAAATATCTACCACCATTGATATAATATCGGCTGATCGAATTAGTTTTGAACTGTTTAACTTCAAGACATCCGGATCGATTCCAAAAGGATCCGGTTCCCAAGTTTCCCAATCGCTAAATTCATTTAAATGAGAATCTTTGCCAAACTTTATAAATTCTCCTTTAGCCAACTCTTCAGACAGATCCGTTGGTCCTTCTTCAGTCAGACCAGTGACAACTCGCCTTACTGTATCGGTGCGTTTTCGTAAGTAATCCTTTATTGGAGCCGTAACTATTTCTAATATCACTCCAGTGTTATCTAGATGACGAATGGCTTTAATTGCAGCAACGTACCCTGTCAATATGTCCATAGTGTTGACACCGGGATGCAGAATTCGTGCCTCTAGCGAACTTCTTAATGATTCGGTTAAGTAAACTCGCATATCTATTTTCTCCATGCAAATCTTTAAATCGTCTATGGCAGGCGAAGAATCTGGGTAATCTGAAATATTTTACATATGTGAGGAACACGATAAGAAATAAATAAAGTAAGAACTGTTCAGTTGAATTGTTTTTATGATTCGATTATTGTTTATCGCATTACGACTATACGCCTTAAACAATAAAATTTCCTATAAATGTATATTATGCAACTTACCGATTATTATGCTGAAAAATTGACTTATCACATTTTGAGCAAAAGTTTCATACATGAAATATGTTAGTTTAACCTTAAATGCTTGAACCGATTTGGGAATTTTCTCTTGAGATATATCGTCCCTTGATTTCCATTCTGTGAAAATGCTTGTTAGCCATATCATTACAACATCGTTAATCCACTAAAATTAAAATAAAAAAAAACATGTTAGTATATCAATAGCTCAAACATAAATTTGTTCTTAAAGTTTCCTATAGCCGATATTTTAACTTTTCTGTTTTTAACGCTCGACAGTCATTTCTAGCAGAAACTGACAATAAGCTATTCAGCCTAGCCTACATCATTATGCATGGAATATCTTAAACATATAGTGGACACACGATTCCCGCACCAACCCGACCTGGTCAGGTAAGGCCCCCACAGTCGAGATAATTTCCGCGCGAGAGAATGTTCACCAAGAATTCTCAAACACGCGGCGGATTGGCTTTCAAAAGCAGAGGAGCACTTGCGATTAAATCATAGTGGGCGAGGACATGGCAAGGAATACAAAAGAAGGCACAAGATGTTACATTTAACTTGGCTGCTTTTTAGGCTTCAAAGATGTAGTCGTATAAAGGTGAATTCTTCATTTACCGTTTCAAGTTGTTTAAGATGGCTTCTATCAAAAATTCCAACGCAGGTGTCGTTAATATGTTCCTTAATCTTCACCTTAATTAAAGCTGTCAAAGCGCTTCCTGCCAAGCGGTCAATCAACCCCATCTTCAATAATTTCATATTTGTTGCGTTCACCATTTCTGTAAGCTTTTGGCAGCAGCATTGATCGAGATCAACGTTACAGCCAGAACAAGGAAGTTCCGTGAATACTTCAGAATCTAAAAAATAAATAAACAAAATGTTAAGATTGTACTTATTTTATATAAAAATATCTGAATAATGGAAATGTGACATACCAAGTGTATTCAAGGATAAAGTTGAGTCCTTGGTAAAAAGCCGAAAATGTACGCAGTAAAAGTCACAAACAAAGTTATTAAACGATGGCGGCAATTGCGCTAGCAGTGCATTATGCAAGGTAATCTTTGTGTTCAAATTTGAGGTTGAGTTTGCGCTTTGATTAAGATAGAACAATCTGGGTTTTATCATCTCAAGGCATTGATAGGCATCATATAGTTCATCAATTGCATAGATAAATGTGAAGAACAATGCATTTGTATCAGTAAAAGCTGCAATGTTCATGTCATGCTTGACCTTATGTGGTTCTCCTTCAGAAATAAAGTGTTTCCAAAACTTGGGAACAAGCACATTACGAATTGCAGACTCAACTTCCATGTCCAATATAGATGTTATTGTTTTGGCAATGCCCATGTTTGACATTTGCCGGTAAACATTTTCAAAGACTTCATCTTTAATAGGATCAGGCGGAAAAGTAACCTAGAAAGCACTATTAAATCGAAACCATATGAAAGAAACCACTATTACGGCTTACCTCTCCGCCTAATATCGGAAATATTTTTAGTACATTTAACCACAACTCATTTAAATCGCACATCTTTCTGTGTTAATACATTCCTACTTATTAAAGATGTATTGAACCGGTCTGAACGAGTTCGAATGAACGTGTTCCATATCAGCTGCGTTCACTACAGCGTCAAGGTAGCATCGCGAATTACGCGTCGATTTTTGGAACCTGGTTCCGAAATCACTCATTTTCTAAAATAGTATTTAATTGTTTTAAGGCCTATCGCCAAATAAATTTTATTAACGGTGAGCGAAGAGCTTATCTTTGAACACGGCTTTTCCATCTGGTCTCTGCTGTAAAGTAATAGCCAGGATTCTATTGAGCCAGTTCAGAAGTAATGTCTGCTATTTGCCTTACAAGGTTTATATTGGCACCCCAATCTTCGGTTGCCATGTAACACCCTCAGGCATTCCTCTTCTTTATCTGCCGTATTGCTACCTACGTGCACAACAGATTACGCTATGCACAATAAATTCTATATATATGTGGTACAAATTGCATTACTTAAATAATATATTTTTAATTTATTTTAGGTTTTGTCAGCCATTAATTAAAAAAAATCGATTTAAAAATAAATGATTATGTTACCAATTGGATATATTTATAGAGATTAAACTCAATAATAAGTAGGTGTGGACAGTGAATAGTAGCATATACATGTGTAGTTCTGATCGCGGAACCAAGCTATAATCGACGGAATATGAGCGATGCTATCTTGACGCACATTTTTATCGAGTATATTCGGTTCAGTTCGCAGTTCTATTGCTAGTTCACTCTTGTGATCCGTTTAACATTGCGGCGATTGTCAGGAAATGAAAGCGTAACGAATATATCTTAAAACGAAGAGTTAGAAGTCTATTTGAAACACTATGGCTCCAAATGTATCGATACCTGTGGAGCGCTACGAGCCTAGCAATCTTGGTGTAAATGCTATTCTATTAGGCCCACCAGGCTCAGGAAAAGGAACCCAGGTGGGTTATAGATGTAGACAATGTTATGTAACTACATACCAACACATGTGTACGTAATGCGCGCTAAAGTAAAACATGAAGTGTTTATTTATATGTACAAATTAAACAGGTGTTCCCATTAAAAATAAAGAGAACAAAAGACAAAACCGATATTATTCCAATTGTGCAAGTGTATGCGACAGTTACAAGTAAACATCTCCGACCATAAATATGAATATAAATATGTATATTATTGCTCAGCATCAACCAGCCGGCTCCATACAGCCATGTTTGTTTGTTTTTTCTTTTTATAGAAGCAACGTAGTTTTGTTAATTGAATCGAAAAACCATTTCTATTCGTATACTAATCCAATGCAGCACACATTGGATGACATTCTGTGGCCAGAAAAATATGAAGATCGGATACATCCCATTTGGTGAATGAAAGAGCAGGAAGACAATTTAATTAATAAGTAAATGGGAATACAATCAAAAAATATTAATAATGTAACATAAGCTGCAGAAAGGCTTTCGTAAGTGTATGTTTGCTTATATATATAAGGCCTGAGAGTACGAATTTTTTTCGATAGTTGATATCCTGCCCGTTTCCAAGCAATCGATTAAAATCGCTATCGAATTCCTCATATTTTAGCAAATCTGAGGTTATAAGAGCTAGTCACCTAATTTTACATAAAGCTTCTTGAAAAGTATACCTATATATCACTTATCTTGAATTTTATAGCTATCCACACACCTCCGCTTTCACTTCATAGCTATAAGTTAATTAAATAAACCATTACGCAGCAATACTGCAATTGTCTTTTTGATAAGAGACAAATATTCTATTCGGGAAACACAAAGGTTATTAAAGAAAATGTGTGCTTATATTGACACTTGTTTGCGGCACCTACCGCAGATGTTAAGAATTTCTCTCATCATGTACACACATTCACAAGCGTCCTTATCGAATTCGATAATTTTCTCATTGACGTTTTTTTAAGGCCACTAAGTAATGATAAAATTGATAAAAAAAAATACCTGTTGCTATCGTACAGTGCTGGAATTGAATAAATTATAAATAAATATAGAAGAATAAAATTATCTTTTTATCATTATTAGGCACCCCTGCTACAAAAAAAGTTTTGTGTATGTCATTTATCAACTGGCGACATGCTACGAGCAGAAATATCATCAGGTTCGAAACTTGGCGCCGAACTAAAAAAAGTAATGGACGAAGGAAAACTTGTATCAGATGATCTGGTAGTGGATATGATTGATTCCAATTTAGATAAGCCAGAATGCAAAAACGGATTTCTTCTTGATGGTTTCCCAAGAACAGTTGTGCAAGCTCAAAAGGTATTATTTTTTTAGTAAGTAAAATTATAAATATAATATGTATTTTCTTAGCTTGATACATTGCTTGATAAAAGAAGAACGAGCCTGGATGCTGTAATTGAGTTTGCTATAGATGACAATCTATTGGTAAGAAGAATAACCGGTCGGTTGATTCATCAAGCGAGCGGGAGATCCTATCACGAAGAGTTTGCACCTCCCAAAGTACAAATGAAAGACGACGTAAGTTAACGCATTCCAATACTCAAACTTGTAGCATCCTTTTATAACCTGAGCGAATTTTTCAATATATTTCAATAGATTACTGGAGAGCCTCTAATAAAACGAAGTGATGACAATGTTGATGCGCTGAAAAAAAGGCTGGAAGCCTATCATAAACAAACCAAGCCATTGGTGGACTATTATGGTTTGAGAGGATTACATTTTAAGGTCGATGCTGCCAAAAAAGCCAGTGATGTCTTTTCATCGATTGACTCTATATTCCAACGAAAATGTTATTCCAAAATTCAGCATTAACGGACTTAATGCCAAAATGAAAACTGCCTGTTTGATTTTGAAAATGAAACAATAGTTTAATTTCAATTGTCATTTTTTAAGAAGCACATTTACATAAAATACTGTTTAATAAAACAATTTAAGCAGAATTTAATTTTGTCAATCGGACTTACCCTGAAAAATGTTAACGAAAGGAAGATGGAATTCGTTTGTAATTCACGACTATTTAATGGAGCATGTTGGCTGTCGTGTTTTTTATGGAAAACAAGCATTCTGCTCCATTTATCCATACATCGATAATTTTCTGGTATTGGGAGAAAACTAAGCACATATAATCATAAATGGGCATTTACAAAATCAAACAACTATGAGCAATAAAATAAATAATTAATAAGGAGACGGTTGTGCACGAATAGAATATACACCAATTATACCCCAATATAATAATAAAACACAAACTTTTACGACTTTTTTACATAAATTATATCTTATAATAATTTTTGCATCCTTCAACGTCAACTTGAATTCAAAATGAATACTAAAAATGATTTATTCAAATTTGTTCAACAACAATAAATTGAAAAAAATTCCAAAATTGTATATGGTTTCCACTCTTTTTTTTATGATTGAGATTTATAGAAAGTTATAGAAGTGGGGAATTTGGGCCTACGCCTATAAAGTATATTTGAAGGTACAATCCATTAGGAAAGAGACAAGCTTCTTAAAAATCGGATGAGATTTGACCGAATTTTGGGGGTGGGATATTTTGACGTATATCTATAAAAACGGTTATACCCCGGCCGGACAATTCACTCACAGATCTTTGAAAATAAGTGTAAGGCCGATCAACCACGGCTGCGTGTCAAATTTACCAAATCGCAGAAACGCTTTTTCATTAGGTTCTTATGTGTAGCTTTTAAAAAAATAGCTTTTTAATCCAAATCGGACAACACATAAGACATAGCCCTAAAATCTTTGAGTCGCATTTTCGACCGGAAAAGCTTGGATTCTGCGAAAAGAGTGAAACAAGTCTCTAAAGGTTCTACGAATAGTTCTCTGGAAATAAATTGGAACACAATCCATATATGCGATGGAATTTTTCGAAACCCTGTCTAAACGTGCCACTCCATCACAAAAAGTATCTACAGAAAAAATTGCAGCTTTCTAGCTCTTACGGCTTAGGCTGCGCAGTGATCGCCTATCAGTCAGGACAAAAAGTTCTATATATAGAGATATATATTCAAAAATAGTTGTATAAATAAAAACTTGTATATATAATATATTAATATGTAACACCATTTCCATTTAATATAAACACAATTTATAAGCTTACATATACAATACATGTACATATACCAGTTTATTGTTTAGTAAATAAAATATATTTGCAGTCAGCAATCTAACGTCGGGCCAAATATCGCCTTAACTGTATTTTAAATACTGTAATCCATATTAAAATATGTTTTAATGGAATATTGATATAAGTTTCGCCACGCTAGTGTGATAATATGCAGTGTCCCAAAATTTTTTGTTCCATTTCATTGTTCCGAAACTAACGCTATACAACTGTGTGAGAACCGGAAACTAATTTTACCGTGCCCATGTTCAAGAAAGACCCTTTCTGTTCGTAGCGCTTGTGTGGACGGTATGTACGAGCTTGTTGTTAAATTAAAATCTTGAAAAATTTTAACAATCTTTTAATTTTTGCAGCTTGAAACATACATATATAAATATGCCGCCCAAGTTTGATCCCACGGAAGTTAAGTTAGGTAATTTAATTCAAAAACAAAGTCGACTCAATGCATAACTAAGTTGTATATTTTAATGTTTTTAGTTTACCTACGTTGTGTGGGTGGAGAAGTCGGTGCCACCTCGTCGCTGGCTCCCAAAATTGGTCCTCTAGGATTGGTTAGTATACATTAAGCTTTATTTTTCTTAATCTAATTATTGTTTTAGTCTCCCAAAAAAGTAGGTGATGATATTGCAAAGGCTACTTCTGACTGGAAAGGTCTTAAAATAACGGTATGCCTTACCATTCAAAACAGGCAGGCTACCATATCTGTGGTTCCATCGGCTGCCTCCCTAATCATCAAGGCGTTAAAGGAACCTCCACGTGATAGGAAAAAACAAAAGAACAGTAAGTTATTATATGCTAACGGAATTTCAACTTGATAGTTTTGCAAGTTAAGCCGGCCAATGGAGGAATTTTCCATTCAACAGTGGTGGATTTAAGATTTTCATATACGAATTAGAATCCGATTGAATGCTAAACAAAATTCA